ATCGAACATTCCTCGAGTTTGTTATTGATCCCCAAAATGTTAAATTGGGACTTACCACTAACGGATTCAATCTGTTTAGGGTTCTAAACTAACACCACATCATTTGGTCGATGTTTGTACTCTCATATGATTTGTCGCCTTGGAAATGTATGAAAAAAGAATACATGATGATGACTCTTTTGATAACTGAGGATCATGGTAGGTCAATCGATGTTTACTTAAGGTCGTTGGTTGATAAGTTAAAGGATTTATGGACAAATGGTGTGCGCACGTACGATAAGTCCACTGGGAAGATGTTCACTTTGCGGGTAGCAGTTGTGTGGACTGTGAACGATTTTTCCGCATATGCAATGGTTTTTGGGTGGAGCACTAAAGGTTATATGGCATACCCTATATGTAAGGATGATGTAACATCTGGTGGGCACACCAGAAAAGTTTGTAACCTTCATCATCAAAGATGGTTGCCATGGGACCACGAGTGGCGGGAAAAGGATAAAGAGTTCGACGACAAAACAGAGTATCGCCTCAGACCTAGATAATGGTCCCGTTATCAAATTTTGGAACAACTTAACTGCTTGGATTTTGCTCCGTTTGGGAAAACAGTAAGTATGATCAAACCTCTACACATATGAACTGGACGCACAAGCCTACGTTTTTTGAGCTCTCGTATTAGTCGAAACTCAAATTGAGATATAAACTCGACATCATACATGTTGAGAAGAACGTATTTGACACATCGGTGGGCACCATTCTATTTATCGAAGGCAAGACAAAGAACATGATCAAAGCTCGCCTTGATTTGGAAAGAATGGAAATACGGAGAGGTTTATGGATGAATAGGGATAGTGATAAAGCCACAAGGGATCTTGTATTTTTTTCCATGAAACATAATGACAAAACAAAAAATTTTAAAGTGTGTATCATCTGTAAAGTTTCCTGACGGGTATGCTTCTAATATCGCGCGTTGCGTGTGTTGACGGGGGTAAATTTGCTGGGCTAAAGAGCCATAACTAGCATGTGTTTATGCAACGCCTACTTCTTGTGGGTATTCAACACCTATTGTCGAAAGATGTTATGAAGCCAATCATGTTGTTATCTAGATTTTTTTCCCAACTGACGGCAAGAACGTTGCAAAAAACGGACATTAAGCAGTTGCGCCATGACATTGTCCAAGTCCTATGCAAGTTTGAGATGATATTCCCTCTAGCTTTCTTCACAAGCATGATCCACGTGATGGTTTACTTGCACGAAGAGGCATTGCTTGCTAGTCCTGTCAACTATCATTGGATCTATCCAGTATAAAGGTATATAATCCTCATCATTTGTTTATGCATCATTAGCCCACTCTTACTAATTTGTATCATATTGTTTTATTTTGGCACGCTTCTCGAGGAGTTGAAAAAAAGCGTACGCCACAGGGCGAAGCTCGAAGGATCAATTATAGAGGCTTGGGTTCAACATAAGATTTTATGGTATCCACTAGTGAATAGTTTAAGTTGAAGATCGAATTCATTCATTGTATTCATATAGGGTCAAAGAGTGTAGCTGTAAAAATCATCAAAATTGGAGTTAAAATAACCGTTAAATTGTGATTTTTCATTTATAACTGTCAAAAAGTTTTGAATTGTTACTTGATTTTTGAATTTTTTTTTTTTTTTTTGCGATTTTTGGCGTATGCAATCTCAAACCATATACAAACAAGTTTGACGGTTGGATCGTTGAAATTAGTTTCGTACAATATGTATCCCATCATAAAGAAAGATTCACTAACACATTAGAGTTTATTTATACTTTCATTAAGTATAACATAAGATTTTGTGGATCAACTAGTATAAATAGTTTAAATTAAAAATCGAATTCATTCATTGTATTCATATAGGGTCAAGGAGTGTAGCTGTTGAATGGTATGTATAACACTTAAGAAGTTGAATGGTATGTAACCCAAGGGATGAAAGAGGCTCAGGTTGGTTAACTCATGAGCAAAAAAATTCATTTCACGATAGATATGATGAATAGTACATTCCCAGTCATGCATTAACATTGAACGGCAAGCTTGAATCAATTCACCAATAGGATGATTATTAGTGGCATCATGTGATATCAGTTTAGCTGCAATTGCATAATCAGACTCCACCAAAAGACGTCAAACCCCTTTATTCCAAGCAAATTGTAATCCCAAAAAAATCCCCAAATTTCAGTGTTGAGAATCTCCCAACGCCCAAGATTAACACAAAATCAGCATCCTAAGCTCCAAAAGAGTTGCTAAAAACATTTCCTGTTCCAATAAAATTAAGGGAGTCTTTTCTATAGCCATCCACGTTGAGTTTAAAAGACCCTTCTAGAGGTGATTCCCAACGATAAAAAAGCAAGGGCTCTGGGTGCCTTATGAGAAGTAATACCATTTGCTTGCAGCCATACACGGCATCAAGTGAGAATAATGATTTTGGGTTCACTGGGGTAGACAAAATCACTTTCAAAAATGCTTTTATTTCTCCAATGCCAAATGAACCAGCAGGTGACACAAAACACAAGATGCCAATCAAAATGGTCAAGGAAGAGAGCCTTCGAAGAAAAATTATTATGCAACCATTCCAAGATATCCCCGGGGCTGAAAAAAGAAATTGGAACACTAAGTCATTGACATACCTGAACAGCAATAGGAGCCACAAGAAATATTTCACTTCAGGACTTACATGCCACTGCCAAATAAACTTCCACCTCCAATCCAGACATTCAGACACTTGAATAGCAAGATTATAAGCAGACTTAACAGCTACGTTTCCATCACTAGTCTCATTCCAAATACATTTGTCGTGAGCACCCTCCATAATATTAATAGGAGTGTTGACAATTTGATCCACAATTTCTTTTGGAAGCCACTGTAGAAGTTGGTCAATATTCTATACCCCATTTGAAGAAAAGTCAGCCACTGAAATATTAATCATCTCTTGTGATAGTGGCAATAAAGCATGATGTTGGAGAATACACCATTTGGACCAAGAATCCATCCAAAGAGCAGTGTTTTCACCAGAGCCAATACGGCAAGCAAGACTCTTTTTCAATAACGCAACTTCATCAATAAAGCTCCTCTAAGTACCAGAAGCACCCTGCCAATTAACATGTTTAAATAAATAATTATTCCCTCTAGCAAGATACTTGTTACCAAAAACATGAGTCCAACGTGCATCATCATTTTGTAACATTGGCCCAGCATTTTTTTTGCTAGAAGAGCAGAGTTCATAGCCCTCATATTCTTCAACCCTAAACCGCTTGCACTTTTAGGTAAACACACCTGACTCCATTTAACCAAAGGAATTTTTTATTTGGATTGAATGGAACCCCATAGAAAATTTCTTATTAAGCCTATCAAGTTGACACACTAATGCACTTTTAAAGAGTACCGTATACAAACCGTAATTTTATAATTATGGATGACTTGCTCTCTACGTATAAAAAGTGTACAAAAAATTCACTTGTATATGTAAGTGGTTCACCTGTAGAAGAAATGCTATTAGTAAATAGTCTAGAGTATTTAATGGCATCTTTCCAGATCTAATAAAGTGCTAGAAAAATTGTCAAAAGAAGAGAAGAGAACATTGTGCAAGCTAGCTCTATAGTGGCTATGAATAGACCCATGGTATATAGTCTATGTTGTGGCTTGTCGACACCGTTCTTATGAAATTCTTATCATAATTAAAATTAAAAGGGAATATAATAAAGAGGCATTCTTTGATTCTTCATATATATTTTCTTTGCCGCTTAGTACAACGATCTAGTAATATTCATCTTTATTTGTAAGTGAGAGGTCTTAGGTTCGATTATCGTCAAAGGCGAATTTAACCACATTATTGCTAGCTCATTGTGAAGCTTAAACCACTTCCTCACCCTCTTATTATCTCCAGCCCGTATTAGCCTGTGCTTTGAAGACATCCGATAGAATTCAAACCAGACATACAAAGTACTTGATCAGCATTATATTTGGACCGTCTTCCATTGCATTTGCGATGTCTGGTGGTTGCTATTTTTTGTCAAGGGTTGTGCTATCCACACACCCATTCTTACTTCTCATACATCCTCTTAATTTTCGACCGTTGGATCAAACGTATTAAAAAATATCAAATGACAGAAATTAATTAGAGGTGTATGAAATGTAAATATGGATGTATAGATATCACATCCTTTTGTCAATCACCAGTTTAACCCCACTGATAGCATTTGCACTAGAAATTGGTAAATCGTGAGCTTCATCCTTCGTAGTAGTATTGGATGACACAGAATAAAGGCCAAATGCGATGATCATGCCTCCAACCAATGACACTATATCAAGTTTAAATGTAAAATAAAATAAAATAAAATGAAATAATAATAATAAATAAAGAGGGCGGTTTGGAACGACATGATTGGATTTAGTTTAAATTAATTATGTACTAATCAGAAAGAAAAAAAAAAGATAATACAGGTAAAATGATGTATCAATGCATGCTTAAAGTTGATTGATTACATCACAAATATACCTTCTAATAAAAGTATTTGATCCAAAGAAAAGTTGTCGCAAGATGTACGCTTGGCATCAGAATACGTTTTATACATTCCATTATTCCTCATTATCGATCATTTTTAGTTAGAATTTGTCACAGTAGGAGCAAGTTTTTAATTAAAATAATCATCTCTACTAATAGAATGTCAAAAATGAGTTTTGATGACTCAAGGCTTCACCAAAAATAATTGGACACAAAAACCTTTGAAACAAAAAACTTAACTCGTTTAATAAATTATGGGATGTGTTATCCACACACCCCATTTTACTTCTCACACACCCTTGATAATTTATATCCGTTGATCTTCTTCAATTGTGTGTAAGAAGTAAAATAAGATGTGTGAATATCACATCCCTAAATTATATAGAAATTTGATAAGGGATAGAAAGGTAAAAACATTAACTACAAAATTTGAAATGTGGGAGGAAAGTGAAAAAGAATACAGTTGCCAGTTCAGTTATCAGTTGTACTTCAACTTCTCACGATCAAAACCAGAGAGTTTGACGATTCCCACGATCGAAACTATAGAGCAGTTTAATGATTCCTACGATCTGAGTTCAGTTGAAGGTTAAACGATAACTACCCACACAACCGCTATATACAGATAAATAATCGAAAAGAACCCAATTTTCGGAACTAGACTCCGGGACGTGTCTTGGAACCCATCCTTCTTCACACATTCAATCCTGGACGCCCACTTTCAGGAGCAAATCTCATGGCCATGTTCCTCCACCTATGCCGCCGCTGCCTTCGTTGCCATCTTCTCCAGGTACCCAACCTCCCAATTTAAAAAACTAGAAAGTAAGACAATTCAAGAAAAACAAGAAGAATGGTGGAGCAAAACGACGTCATTGAACCCTTCAGAAAACAAAGTAAGGTGTGTCCTTGCAGATACTGAGAGTGTTAGATCGAGCAGACAGAGAGATGGCATACTTGAGCATGGGAGAAGCTCACAGAAGAATTACCGACTACCTCAACCGCTTCTCCGATGCCGACGCCCTCAACGTCTTCCAGGTAATACATCCTCACCAATGTGTATATTTGCATACGTATTTGTATTTGTTTCAATTTGGGAATTTAGGGTTTTGATTGGTGAGGGTTCTTGGTGTGTGACAGGACTTCAATAGATTGATCAAACAGTCCGATAACGACTCGCAGTTTGGCGAAATTCTGGTGCATCTCTTCCGGGCTTTTCAGAGCTACCGAATTGGGAATTTCATTGATTCCTATCAGACATATGAAAAACCTGCGAAAGTATTGATCTTTTTTTATTGATTCTTTGTTTTATTTAATTCTGTTCTGTGTGAAATTTTGCATTTGGTTTTGGTTTTTGACTAATGTTAATGGTGGATATTGTGCAGTGCTTTTATTCAGGAGTTTCGGAATTGGGATACGGCATGGGCTTTGCCAGCATTGTATGTCATTGCTTATGAGATTAGGGTTCTAGCTGAGAGGGTAAGACCCCCAATTTCCTTTATCATTTAATGAAAAGAAAATTAATTTGTACTTTATTATTGTTCTGTAAAGATGCGTGCTTTATTTCGTAATTGGTTGCCGCTACGTTGGGAAGACGAATTTACTAGGACTGGCCTGTGTGGAACTTATGGACAATTTTATGTATATATCATGTATAAAATAGTTTACAAGATCAACCATAAATAGGAGAGGAATACAAGAAAGAAAGTGGAGGAATGGTGCGGACAGGGATGGCAGCTCAGCAAGCATGAGTGAAGACCTGACCTCCACTATCTCTAACTTAAACTAATACCTAGCTTTTCATGATGAGGGAATATTGCTCTTAAATAAGCCTAAAGTAAACAAACAAGCAGCTAACCCTAGCCGAAAGTAAGATGACAATGAGTTGTTATCCATCACCAACTAAACAATGACAACTAGACAAACCCTACCACCAATAATAATAGATACTTCAATAGAACTTTTGTAGGCTGATAAGGAATTAGCTTTGAATGGAAAGTCTCCAGAGAAGTTGAAGGGAGCTGGCTCTTTCCTTATGAAAGTCTTTGGCGTTCTTGCTGTAAGATTCTCTCTTTGATATTCTATTTATTTCGCTACTCTTACTAAACTTCGGTTTGTATTTTGTTCTCTTTGCAAGAAAAGTCTGTTCCTTTACTCAAACTTGTATACAATAAGAGTTGGTATTTTCTTGGGTGTTTACGAACAATTGTCTGAATCTGTACTGCTAACTCTTTCACTAGTGTATCCATTGTAGGGAAAACGCCCGAAACGTGTTGGAGCATTATACGTCACTTGCCAGTTGTTTAAAGTTTACTTTTAAGGTAATTTTTTCGCACTCTTATGAGTTCGTCAGTGCTTTTAATATCTGAATTAGCTATTTGGGTATCTTTTGAATGCTGAATGCTGAACTAGAGCTGCACTATGATGAATCATCTTTATTACTTTGCAGCTTGGTACAGTTCACCTTTGCCGCAGCGTCATAGGGAGCGTTGAAACTGCGCGAATATTTGATTTTGAGGAATTCCCTAAGAGAGATAAGGTCAGAATTGCCTTTGGTAGAGCAAATGCAATTTTCTTCCTTCCTTTTCTGCTCCCTCTCCTTTTGAATTTATTCTCTATCGCAACTAGACAACGTAGCTTCAACCACGGACCCAATCATGAATCCCTAAATATCATTGTGTACAAAGATATTTTGCTTCCCTCGAATACTACATAAGATTATATTCTTTCTTTTAATGTTTAATTCCATTTTTCAACCTTTAATGCAATTCAATTACAAATAATGATAATATTTGATTTTAACCAAACGCATTAAATTCAACAAGACGGAACGATATGAGTTCATGATATATTTTGCAGTCAAGTGTATCGAGGTCAATTGAAGTTCTTGGATTGTTTTTATACTTTTTATTTAGCTTTTAGTTGCAATTGAATTATAAAAATCTTCTCTGTTATTATTATTTTTTTTACATATAGATAATCGTCTTTATTTTATGTTTCTTTACATTGAGCCAATCCTTGCATATAAATACATCTAAAATATGTAAGTGTGCCATGATTAAAAAAATGTCTTTCGCGTTCTAAAAGGCTATGAATAATGCGCAATCCAAGAAAATCCCATTATATGAGATAATTAGAATCTAGAATTAGAAAACATTGCAGGAGAACTATGATATTCTCTCTTTCTTTTTACCTGCCAAGGTGAAGTTTCTCAGCTAGAATACTTGAACCCAAAAAGGAGATGATAATCATGTAGAGAGGGTTAAACGCTTTTACAGACACCGGGCACTCTAGTCTTAAATAACCAAGCCTTGCACGTAATATGTAATCCCAAAGCTAATTATTCACTAAAGAGTATTCATCACAAATAGTTCATAAAATTGACCAATACCATCAAGATGGTCCTTGAAATTGAATATAGCACAATATAGTCCCTGAAAGTAGGTGTTGCAAATCAATATCGTATGTCCGTCATAATTCTATCAAAAATTATGTTATGTGCTGATGTGACACATAAATGGATCCCACAAGTCTTTTTTATTACAAATGGTCCCTAAAATTGACCTACACCATCAAGATGGTCCCTGAAATTGAAAATCGATCAATATAGTCCTGAAAAAGTGTATCAAATAATTGTGGTCATTCAATCACAATTCTTTAAAAAAAAATTATTATTTGTTGATGTTTCCAACAAGTCTAATTAAATTAAAAATAAATTAGCAACAGGTTTAATATTTAATAATTAATTAAAAAGTTGTCAACCCAAAAACCCAATCCCACAATCACCTCCAGTCCCAACCCACACTGTGACAACCCGTTCCAAATTTTACGTTTTTACTTTATTTAAAAAGCGTGAATTTACGAAATTGCCCTAGAGGCAAGGACTTTGACTTCCGTCGACCATCGACTTGTGAGATGTGGGACTTATTCTTTTAGCATATCCTCGTAGTACTCGTTGGTACGAACGTATAGGCGAAAGCCGTTTGCGAGTCCGGATTATAACGTTATAGTTACGGACGTTCGAAATTGGTTATTCAAGGTTTAGCGTTAATTAAATTAAATCCCCAATTAGAAATTGGTTATTCAAGGTCAGAAATGGAGAAAGGAAAGAAAGAAAAAAAAAAAAAAAAAAAAAAAAAAGATTGGGCGAGTTGCCCAATCGGGAAAGAGGGGAGAAGAGAGATGAGGACATTAACCAACCAGAGGAGAGAACAGGAGGGAAAGGATGGAGAAAGAGAAGGAGGGGAAGTCGGGTTCCTTGACCCGCAACCCGTTTTCAACCCGGTTGGCAACACCTCCATTTTCGACGATTTTCACCCATTTTTCCGACGAATTGCTTTCATAAACCTCTTGAGAACTCTTCCATAACCTTCCCTCTATCCATTCCATCTCAAATTTGGAGAGATTTGGCCTTGAAAATAGTGAAATTCGCAAGAAGGGGGAGCGGCGGTTTTGGCTTCAAATCGCCCAATCCCGAAGCAATTTCTTTCAATTTCTACCACCCATAGCATCCTCTTGAGGCCTAGAACAAAGACCAAGCAATGGTTGGGACGACGGAGTTGTTTTGGAGTCGGATTGAACACACCCACAACCTAGGGTTCCGCACGGTTTTGGTGAAATTGAGGCACTTCCAAGCCAATTTGGCCTTGGCCACAGCTATAAAGTTTACTCTGCTCATTGAGATCTTTATTTCTGTAAATTTTGGTAATTTTTTGGAAATAGTTGGATTTTCCGGCGAGTCGGGGCGGCTTTTTTGGAAATAGTTGGATTTTCCGGCGAGTCGGGGCGGCCGACCGCCACCTGCGGCGGCGCGTGGCCAGTGAGCCGCCAATGCTATTTTTAGGCTATGTCGAATGTTTTGAATTCAGTTTTGTCATTTGAATGACGTAGGTTGATCGTTGGAACTTAAATTCGTTATGATATGTTACTTGATAAAAATGTTAATCGATGATCCGACCGTTGGATCGTCACCAAAATTGGATACATTATAATACGTAATATTTAAAGATCATAGGAATTTACGGATCAGGAATCTGACTTACGGATCTTCCTGAATTGGATTTGTAAGTTATTAAAATAAATGTTCACAGCCACTTGTTTTAGGCAATTGGCGGAAATCTGACCGTTGGATCGTAATGAAATTTTAATATGCTATTCTAGAAACATATTGTGGATCGTTGGGAGTTGCGGATTGGAAATCCGATATGCGGATCTTCCGGGTCAAGTTATACGGGGTTGTAAACCCTACCGTCAATCTTTGATCGATGGTTGACTTGTGGTCAATGGGTATCAAACTATTTTAGAATGTTGTTGAGGTTGTGTTTTATGTGAATTACGTATTCTACAGATAAGAGTTCTGAGATGTGATTTGATAATTGTCCTCAGGGACCGATCATTCAGGATGCCTTGATACGTGCGCTAGAGAAGTATATCGTGGACTCCAGGTGAGTGGATCTTTTCCTTTTTATTGTGCATATTATTGAGAGTTCAATCGACACTTTTAAATTGATTAGGTATATTACCTTCATATAATTATCGTGAATGCTTGAAGTACTTATATGAACTACGAATGGCTTGATCCCTATGTAGGGTACGTAGGCAGTCTAACGAGACGTTAGATGCAGCCATAAAATATTTGAGACAAAAGCCTTGCTTGGGAAATTGAGTAATGCGAAGGAAATTGGTAAAGGCAAGTTTTAGCTTTATGAATTAGTTTGTTAAATTAGTGTTAATTGGGTTGTCATGAATAATTATCCTTGAAAATAAGTAGTTGGGAGTAGGGCGTTATTGATTGTACACTTCACATCATATTGTCTATAATTGATAATGCTACAACATGGTATATCCATATGTATATTATTTGCATATAAATATTGGGAATGCTTTCAAGTGCAAAGGTGAACGCAGGACACCCAGGTAAGTTCAGGTGAGTTTATGGTATTAGTTGAATCGATTGCGTTATAGCATGACTACAGTTATGAGTTAGGCAACTTCGATACTGTCGTATTGGTTGCCATGAGTTGCACATGTTATATTGAGATGCATTGAGAGCTCATAAACCTGCACCCCAGTGTTAATGCTCCCGCCCGTGGCCAGGGCACAGTCCTTCACGTGATGTTCACCTCCTGCACCTTACGCTCACCTTGGATTCAAGGTAGGTGCACAGTCCTGTCGTACAGACCACTTTAGGTGGTTCCGACTCGTAGGTGACCCGCGATTATTCGCCCAGCCTTCACGTGATCGTAGCACTTGAGTGTATTTATTTACACCCAGTCCTATCGTACAGACCACTTTAGGTGGTTCCGACTCGTGTGCAGGTATACTTATTGAGCTATTGGCTAGCTAGGATTGATGAGATATGGATAAGTCGTACAGGTCACTATAGGTGACTCCGACTTATATGCTAGCCATGATTGATGAGATATGGATAAGTCGTACAGGTCACTATAGGTGACTTCGACTTATATGCTAGCCAGGATTGACGAGATATGGATAAGTCGTACAGGTCACTATAGGTGACTCCGACTTATATGCTAGCCATGATTGATGAGATACGGATAAGTTGTACATGTCATTTTAGATGACTCTGACTGATATATCACTTTGTATTGATTTAGTTCATTTGGCCTACTTATTAATGTATGGTGGATTTGATGGCAAACCGTGGTTTTGGTCATTTCTGAGTATGGTTTGGATATATGTATATATGTTGTACTGTCTTATGGAAAACGATACGGGTTTTACATTTAGGGGCATGACTTTTAGAGAGGTAATAACTTTGGGAAGCTTGGTTTTATTGCTTACTCACACCTTCTGTTTGGTGCCCTCCAGGTTTTAGCTGCTGAGTTTGTATCGACAAGAATATGTGGCGAATCTTAGTATTAATGGATATTTCTGAGGGTATGATTCTTACCCACACTACTGTACCCTATTTATGCTCTGACATCGCGTGTGAAATGGGTTCGCTCCCACTTGTAGCGCACTCTGGTACTTAGACACTTTTAGATTCAAATTTATTCACTTTTTATACACTATCACATTTTATGGCTTCGTCACCTTCCAGGTGTCGGCCAGCACAGCTCGATTCAGGGTCCAAGTGGACTTTCTGGGTCGGGGTGTGTCACACACACCTATATCTCCATCTATGGTAGCCTTCACTGTCTCTTCTCTGCAACAAAAAACAAAAAAAAACAAAAACAAAAAAAATAAATAAATCTCAAGACACACATCTTTACACCTTTCAACACCCTTCCTTGAATTAGACCAAGATCGAGAACACCTTTGGTGACTGCTTGGATTGGCGTCAACTTCTGTGACATCACTGTCAATATTTGGGTGATTGACAACCTCACAACCTTAATCTTGGAGAGCTTGTTGGGCGCTTTCCCGGTGATCTTGGTGATGCAGAGAATGGCGAGTTCTGCCTTGAGATAATCTCATTGTGCAAAAAGGTATTTTGACAACCTTTTTAATTAATTATTAAACCCACATCAGCACATACCAAAAAAATTTACATAATTGTGATGGAATGACCGCATTGATTTGCAACACCTATTTTCAAGGACAACATTGAACAATTTTCAATTTCAGGGACCACCTTGAAGCTGTGGGTTCAAGGACCATTTATGATAAAAACTCTTCCCCAAAATCATTGAAAATGCTTCTTTATCAGTTTAATTTTTCCCTAATTCGATTAAACTTAAGAATAATTAGTTTAAAATGTGTCACTTAGTACT